GAGACTTCCGTTTCAGGAAAGATGGGGTAGACACACTTTTTTTTTTATTCTTTTCACTAAGTACAGCTAAACATCACAGATGTAATAAATAAAGTAGATACAAGATGCCCTGAAAGGTGGAGAGAAGAAGGTAAACTGGCCAGGGACCGTAAACATGCAGGGTGGCGCAGGACTAAGTACCTGGGATTTTCTGGGTATTTGCAAATTGAATAATGCAGATGGCAACTCAGAAATGCCTGTGGGCAAAGATGCAGCATCTTCAAAATCCTGGTCTAATCAAAGGACTAAAAAGGGCAGACTAAAGACAGAAAATGTCTAGCCATAGCTTTTATATTCTAGCCAAGGGCCTCAGAAAAGGCTGTCCTCAGCCTCAGCCACCAAAGCCCAGCTGATACCCTGAGCTCTGTGCTGGCTGGGTTGTAACAAGGTCCCCTCCTAAATAGGATAAAACTACACCAGGACATCATAACTCAGCTTCTGAAAGCTTAAGGGAAAGGAAATGAAGCTTAAAACAACTAGAGAGGAAGAGCATAATCCCTGTGAGACAGGAGGGTGAGGTGATGGAACAATTCAAATAACAGCTTGTTTCTCTTCATAAAATACAGATTAGAAGGATATGGCAAGACATTTTAAATGATAAGAGAAAAGAAAAGGCAATTCAGAATTCTATATCAGCAAAGAAATGCAGGGGAATCAAGACATTCTCAGAGGAAAACAAACTAAAAAGAATTTCTCTCTATCAAGCCTAAAGAAAACAGTCAAATCTTACTTAAGGGACACTGACTGCTTCCTGCCTATAATCAAGAAAAAAGGAAGGTTGTTTGCTCCCAGAATGTCTCTTTAAATTTGTTATACTGATTTAACACAATTCCAATTAAATTTGAGCAAGATGTTTGTTTTGTAGATACAAACAAGATCATTTTAAAATGAATATGGAAAGTCAAAAAAACTAGACCAGTTAAAAATAATTTTTAAAAAGAAAAATAAAATGGGAGGAATAATTCCACCTAATTGAAAGACATTACACACCTACAATTAGAACTGTGTGGTACTGGAGAGGGACACACACATAGATCAGTGTCACACAGTAGAGGATCCAGAAACAGGTGTGGCCATGTACAAGCATGGCCAGCTGAGTTTTAACAAAAATACAGCTATAAAGCAGCAGAAAAGTCCTTTCAACAAGTGGTGCTGAAACAACAAATAGGCAATAAATAAATAAAATATAAACCTCTAATTTTACAACTCATCTTTTATTAAAATTAACTTAAGATGGACCACATACACCTTTTAGAAGGCAACCTAGGAGTAAATTCTGGGACAAAGGGATTAGATAAGGGTTTTAGGGGTGAAATTAAAAGCATGATCCATAAAAGATAAAAATTTATAAGCTGAGATTCTTCAGAAATAAAATTTTTGTCTAGGTGAAAGATCTTATTAGAAAGATGAAAAAACTCCTAAAGACTGAGAGGATAATATTTATGGAGCACGCATCTGATCAAGAACTCATAGGAGAATAGAGAACTCTCAGAACAAAACAGTACCAAACATCAAATGACCCACTTAGAAAACGGAGCAAAGATATGAAGAGACAGTTCACAGAGGCTGACATACAGATGACTGATAAACACATGAAAAGATGCTTAACGTCATCAACCCTTAGGGAAATGCAAATTAGTGCCAAAATGAGACATCACTATATACCTATCAGAATAATTGAAAACAATTTCAAAGATATTCAAAATGCTAGTGAGGTTATAAAGAACCAGATCCCTCATAACTTGCTGAATGCGAAATAATACAGCCACTCTGGAAAACACTCTAACTGTTTCTTACGAAACTGAACATACCCTCCCTGGTAAGCAGCCATGGCTCGAGTGAGCAGCAGGTGCCGCAGGGAGAGAACCAGCCAGCATCTCCCGAGATCTGTGCCATGTTTGAACTTGGGTCTCCGGGAAAGAAAGCAACCCGCTCGCCTCCCTGGTAAGCAGCTGAGACTCAAACATCCCACCTTCTCCCCTCCCCCGTTAGCAAATGGAACCAGAGGTCTGAGCATCTCTTGGGAGGTTGACCATATGCAATATAGCAAATAGGAGGGATTTCCTTCTACCATCTCTTTGAAGGCAAATATTGTTATCACTGTTTTGCTTTGTTCTGATTAATTGTATTACTCTATTTCATATTCTGTTTGATAAGTTCTACAATGTTCTGTATTTCATTGGATTTTGCTATACCTGATTGAAAGAACAACACTATGAAGATAACAAGATATACTATGGTACCTATTACTGTTAACCCGGTAACCTGCTGTGACATTCTGTACCAATTTCACTGTACTGTCTCAACTGGCTTTGTTCTGCCTTGTTCTGTTGTATTTTACCGCCTTCAAAATAATAAAAGAAAAATTTTTTTAAAACCCTAAACATTAAACAACTATATGACCCAGCAACCGTATCTGCAAGCCTGGTTCTTTCCCAGCTCTCCATAGCTCAGTGACGCTCCATCCCATTTTTCAATCAAGACCAACAGAAAACTTGGAGCTGTCTTGGCTCTTCTGTCTCCCTTTCTCTACACATCTCTTCCATTACAAAGTTCTCCTATCTATTTTCCTCACTGCAGCCTGTGTGGTTTTTCAAAACTACAAGCATGGCTTACGGCAGTTCACTGGTTTCCTATGATTTTTAGGACACAGAATAAATTCTGTAATGTGACTAAAATCCTGACATGGTCTGACCATCTGCTCTAGGGAAGTTCTTTACGCTCTGCTTTCCACCCAGTGGGCTTCTTCTGCTGTCCAGAGTGTGTTATCTTTCCTTACTCAGATCTTTGAACATGTTCTTTGCCAAAAAACTCTTCCTGTGATCTCTCTGAATTTACTACATCGACCAAGCTCCAGACAATTTAAAAAGGATAGGAACAATCGTATAATAGTGAAGGGAGACTAATTTGCTGCAGCAACAAACTCTAAACACTAAATAAAGTTTTTTTAATTAAGCAGGAGGCAGCTTGAGTAGTAAAATCTATGTCGTGTATCAGGCATAGACAGTGATGATGAAATAGTCATTTTCTCTGCACAGATGGTAGAAAAATACTGTGGAAGAAGAATTTTAGGAAATATGAGAATATGAAAAGGAATTTTCTATGCTGGATTAGAATATTAAGCTGGAAGAAACAAGTTGGAAAGTTGTATGGGCTGGATCATGAATATATATTTCTGTTCCAAGTAACTTCAGAACTATCTTCTGCTATTATAGATAACATGGAGCCTAATAGAAGAGAAAGTAGACAAGAAAGGTATAAAAACATAAGAATATGAACTAAGGGTAGCACATAGCAGGTATCAGCTACTGTTGGACAATCGAGGAATCCACACATGAAATTGCACTGTTTGCATTAAGTAACAAATAACCTGTCTGGCCAAGCACTAAAGCCTTGCACATGTGAATGTTTGAAAGTTTCCAAAGCATTATAGAACTGCAATCTGTGACATCCACAAAATAACCAAGTAAACACTGCTTACTTTCAAGACAAGTAAATAAATTCCTAAAAGGAAAATATTAAGTGATTTTTTTTATGAATTAGCACCTCAAGATTTGTACAAGCAGTGCATCCACATAGTTATATTGTGGGTGGAGTGAGAAAGGGAGCACAAATGGATTGTACTGGATCCATTACAGATATTCTTCAACTCTTATAGTCTAGACAAAGTTGTCATGAAAACTGATGTGATACAGTGTTCCAGCTCAACATCCTTGCATAGTGTGGCCCAGGGTCCTTCAGTACAAACCCTAGTATGCACTAGTTTATATCTAACTGTCCTGTAAAGTTACTTTCCTTACAATTTCTGCACACATTCATGAAGACACATCATTGGCATTGAAAGATAGCCAGGTAGAAAAAAAAATCTTATTACACTGACAATTTCCTCAGTTAATGTAATCAGATGGTACAGCTGCATTTCTTGTTAGAATTTAGTTCAAATAGCTAAAGAACTTTATTCATTCAGCATTAAAATCTAGACACCTGCAAAATAAATTTCTTTTTTTTTTTTTTTTTACCAGGAATTCAATTCAGGACCTTGCAATTGTCAGGCAGGTGCTGTGCCATTGAGCTGCATCACTAGCCTTGATAAATTTCTGACAGTTGATACAAACTTAATTTTATAATAATCATTTAATGTGAGAGGACTTGTAAAAATGCATTGGATTGGTATTAGATCAAAATGAAAACAACTTGATTTCTAAAAGTTCACTTCATAAGTTTTATGAGGCTTCCACATAGCAATAAGTGGTGTCTGCTTAGTAATCATGCAATTTCCTTTTGTTCTCTCTTTCATTTTTCTTGAAAAACTTACTAACATAATTTACTAATATATTTTTTAAACCAGGTCACCTTAAACCAGATTTACTTTAATGCTTAGAACCGAGGAGAAAGAAAAGAAGGAGACTTTAATGCAAAATAGCCCAGGAATAGTCTTTTAGTATAAAAACGATGAAAGATCATATAAAGTAGTGTTTCTCAAACTTATCTGATCATGAAACTTACCTAGAACACTTGTTTAAGAACATGAATGCTGAGATCTCAGTCCTGGAGGCCTGGATTCCTAAAGTGTAGGAGGAGGCTCCGGAATGTGTAATGTCAAAAGAGCCCAGATGTATTTTAGGGTCAGGTCAGTGGAGGAAATTTGTAGTATCATGAAAAGAATACTCACCTAGTCTTACTGTTCAAAGCACTAGAGTTACCAGATTTTCCAGGTCCTCAGAAGACATTTTACTCACAGGATCTAAATTCCCTCAATTGTTACAGCAAAATCAAAGCAACAATAATAAAATAATTTGGTTTTAGTCCATAAACCCCTATGGACCAGAAGCAGGTGGATTTCCTCGGGGGAACTCTTCACTGCGCCTAGCCTGGGACCTGGCACAGGGCCGCGTCACATTAGCAAGGGTTGACTAAATGGAAAGATGCACTGTGAGGTTGCTCTTGGTTTTTATTAGATTTCAAAGTAAATAAGTTAAAAAGCAATGCATTCACAAAATAATAATATTCTCCAAATAACAACAGAAAAAGTCTCTCCTTCCTTTTTTCTGGTCTCCGATCTGAATACTCCTAAGCATTGAAAAGGCTGTGACTTGAGTAATTTCATGTCACATTGTCCTCACAGGGCTGCGGTGATTAAAACTAGCATGGAGCACACACTGGTTCACAGTGGATGCTCGTGACAGTGAGCTGAATCTAGAAAATCCACTGAAATCTGTGGAAATACAACGCAAAATACTCTAAGGTCTCTTGCTACATGGGATAGGAGTTTTATGCTCACAGCATGGGTTTCTTAGGATTTTTGTTACTTTCCTCTTAAAACATATGGTCAAGAAACACAAGTCAGCATTGTCAAAAGCTTCCCTGGCACTAGTAGCTTGTGTAGAAACAAGTGTTCTTATGTTGGAACAATAAACCCTGAAAAGGCTACAACATTCCAAATTTGTTGTGAAACTAAATGCTCTTATTTACTTTTTAAATTTATTAAATTATATTATGTAAATATTTCCTTATATTATCTATCTACTGTAAGTTAGGGAAGTAATTCTTAAAGTGTGGTTTCCACACTGACATCAGCATCACCTGGGAACTGTTACAAAAGCAAATTATTATTTTTTATTTATGGAAAAAAAGTAAAACAAAATTTCATAATGTAATACTAAGGAAATAATAGTGAATACACTGTATGTTGTTATGTTTAAAGAAGTTACTCAGGGGGCTGGGGATTTAGCTCAGTGGCATAAGCTCCTGCCTTGCAAGCATGTGGTTATGAGTTCAATCCCCGGTACAAAAAAAAAAGTTACTCAGAGTACAAGATATGGGCATAAAAATTCCCCAATTGATATTAACAGGAACCTTCCTTTTTAAAGAACTAAGAGACATTAGTAACACAACTAACTTGTATTTTTTTCCTTTTTCCCTTCCTTCCTTTCCCATTTTCCCTAACGTGGTTCCAGAAATGCACATTCTTGAGTTTTGTGAGCTAGAAATCTATGTGAGCTAGAAACTATGCATTAAGGTTTTCTAGGTGATTCTGATACACATTCAACTATAAGAATCACCTACAAGATTGTCATAAAAAAAGAAACTCAAGAAGGCTGAATTCAACTTTCTCTGCACTTCTAACAGTGTATCAGAGCTGGGAAAGCTACACCTAGTTTCAACCACTTATCAATATATTTGTCAGTAAATCATTTTTGATTATTTACTAAAGTTTTTGCCTATTGAAATCAAATCCTGAAATACCTATCCTGGAATTAAAAATGTAAACCAATGGCTTTTGGAATAGTTTCTCAATTTTATATGAAAAATACAAATTTTTAATGATGAAATAATATATTAACAAATTTAATTTTAATGCCATTAAAACACAAACAAAAAATGAGGCTAATGTTATACAGCACAAAGATACAAGGATTACTTTTCATTCAAATGATAATCATGATTTGGAACTAGAGATCTATAGTAATCTTTTTTTTTTTAAGACAGAGTCTTACTAGGTAATTCAGGTTGAATTTGGGTTCACTGCATAACCAGGTTGGCCTCAAACTCATAGAGATCCTCCTTCCTCAGCCTCCTGAGTGCTGGGATTACAGGGGCATGCCACCAGTTCCAGTTAAGAAAAGCTCTCAGCTACAGACTTCCGAAAATCTTAAAACTATGTATTTTCAGACACCAGCCAAAAGGGGACAGATTTTTAATACGATGGCAGAGTTGAGATGGTGGTGCTGAGGGGCGAAGATGATCCATTCACCATCACATCCTTTAGTAATAGTTAAGGAATTTGAGAAGATACAGAAGTTTGTAGAATTACTGCCAATTCTACAACATTCTGAAGCTTCAAAGAAGTGAAATTCAGAGTAGATTTTTCCAATATTTTGTCCAAACCCTAAACTTTCCCAGCAGAAAATGGTTAACTTAATGGATAGAGAGAAGAAACAAATGGATCCATTCCTATCAGCTTCTAGTCCGGAACGTTAAATGGCAGCGAGCTGATCACATCTCCAGACTCGGTGACAATGGCATCGTAAACCCACCTCCGGTTGCAGCGGCACTCGGGCCCACACTTGTTGGAGTTGCACTTGGGGCAGGGGTAGAAGCAGCCCAGGCAGTTCTTCTCCAGGCAGTCACACAGGTCCACGTCGTTGCAAACTAGCCTGCCACTTTTGTCGTATTTCTTCACGACTCTGCAAAGGGAAGAACAGCATGAAGCTAGCACAGGAGAATTCAGTGCTGAGAGCAGGATACTGCGAAGCAACCTCATTCACACGCTCTTCTGCTTTGAGAGAGCACCTCAAGATGACCCGCAACGCCTAGAATACTGTGTGGCGGTGATGTCATGGGAGAGTCAGCCAGCCTGTAATCAAACCATTTCCAGCGTAACCAGGCTTGCCATGGACAGCAACTTCATGTTTCCAGCGTCGCTGGACAGTGTAATAATGCACCTGAGATGACTGAGAGCTTTCTCCTGGAAAGGCTACAGTTATTTCCTTAAAACATGGCCATTCTTTTTCCCTCAAAGTACCATACTGAGCTCAACTACATTTTCAATGGCTCAAGATGAGAACCATATTACTATACCACAACCATTTAAAGACCAAATTAAGAAAAATAAAAAGCAAAGCCCCACTGTTTTGGTAACAGACTACAGGCACCATTTCTTCTGTTTCCTTCTGATTCTGTTGTTTACAGGGTAACTGGAGATACGGGGGATAAAATACCTGGATCTTATCATCAGTTGTCAGTGAAGGCAAGATGGAAAAGCAGAAGAAAGCCCCAGAGTCTAGACCATACCCTGGCTTCCCCCACTGGCTCTGTTAGCCTGGATAACTTGTGCAAAGGGAAGAGACGTTCCTAAGCATTGCACCACTCCTTAAAGCAAAACACATCTTTCAAAACTGAGCTCTTGTAAGATTTAGATAACACAAGCATCTGTGTACAGTTTGTGTCCAGTACTGCAAGTTGAAGTCCAAAGGACTAGCCCTCTCCTAGTGTGGTCAGGCTCTACACCCGCTCTATCTTGTTTTTTTCCTTTTCTATTCAGCTAAGTAGTGAGATTTCCACCAAAGCAGGGAAAGGTGAGAAGCAGTCACCATGTGTACCTGAGCATCAGACCTCAGCAGAAATGCCTTCTAACAAAGATTTACTTTTAGACTACTTCATCTGAAGACTATGTCTTTCTCAAACCCCCACCCCCTGGAAATTCTGTGGAAAAAATTCAAATTAAATTCTTAGAATGATGGGCATGGTTGTTCTTGAAAAGAGGGGGAACACAGACCAGATTTTGTACTTTCGCTCTTTGCCTGAACCTAGATGCTGTCCTGCCTCAACGCAGACATCCAGATGCAGAGTGTACGATTTCCTTCATATGTGATGCTATCATTGTGAAATTCTGAGTAAAATCTACATATCACAAGTATAAAGAAGACTCACACCTTTGAAGTCCACTTCTCACTCACATCCATCTCCCCCCTCCAGAAGGAACTGTGTACCTTGATATTATAAAAACCACACTGTTGTGTTACTTCCAGTTATATCATGTATGTGAATATTGTGATTTTCTTTTTTAAATTTTTTTTTTATTTTAAAGAGGATAAAATTAAACAGAACAAAACAGTTTATAAGAAAACAATTTAAGAAACACAGATTTCAAAGCAAGACCACTGGAGATCTTCACTGTCTATCGTATTGTCTCTTGTTTTTTCCAAATAATTATCCACATCTTCACACACAGTGAATACATACTGAACAATATAGTACTAAACTAATCAGAACAGGATGATGAAGGCATTTTAGGTCTTCAAGACCAGACAATAGGGAAACAACAATGGTTGCCATAGTGTCTCTCCTCTTCAAAATAGCTGTCCATATCTTCATGTTGAAATTAAACAAAAGAAAACAGACTAATATCACTCTGAACAGAGAATAATGGTATTGCTAGATTTTATTTCATAACACTACAGAATTAGCACTGGGTATCTTAGTCTTTTTTTTTTTTTTTTCTTTTGATACTGCAACTTCTCAAGGCTCACTTTTGGTTTTTATAATAGAATTAGTGCTCATTCTATTCCTTGTAGTTTTTCTCATTAAAGTCTGTCATAGAGGCTTTATAACCTGGAGGCGACTGGAGGCCACGCAGCCATGACTAGGCCTGCTGGAGCTACAAGAAGAGAAGCAAGGGAGAGATGTAAAAGCCGAGGTGGGCGCCCCTCCCTGAATGCAGGACAATTGCAACAACATTAGCTAAATGGAGTCCTATTTCCATCTAGGATATATACAGAGCTGGCTCTGGTATTTCCTTCTCTCTTCAGTTGGCTCTAAGCAATGCAAATAAGGCCAGCTGATGTACTAATAATAATCTTTAAAGTCAGTCTGACAGTCTCCTGTTTCCTCTCATAGTGTTCTCTGTAAAGATCCAAGAGCAGCAGGACAGTAGAGCCATCAGCTCTGGGAATGTCAAGTGGGTACAAGCCTCAAAATAAAAGGCTATACGTTTCCGAGGTACAAAAGTTTGCATTTCAGACCCGGAAGCAACAGCCTCCTAAATTCTTTCATATGCTAGCTCAGGCAAGCTATGAAGACTGGTCTTTCTGCTTATCTCCTTGAGTATTGCAAAGATGCTTTTCTCTCCACCTAGCTAGCTAGCTCAAGTTACTCACCGTTCTCACTGTCATTTATGCTTGAGTCACCCCTTCTTCACAAGACAATAAATTCTGGGAGGGCCTTGGTTCAAACTGGGCCTTTGTCCACACATCCTCACTTGAATGGGGCTTAGGACCCCGTGACTGCCCTTAACTTGCAATATGTCTTGGTGTCTTTACTCTTGCCCTGAGTTGCACTGGAGGTGGTAGGTTGGAATTAATTTGCCAGGATTCCAATAATGTCTCAATGGGGTTACAAATATAATTTTCTGAATCGTGAGGAAGATTGAAAAGGGGATTACAATGCTTATTACTGGGACCAGGGGTTTAGCTCAGTGGCATAAATGCCCACCTGGCAAGTGCAAGGTCGTAAATTCAATCCCTGGTACCAAAACAAAAGCAAAAACAAAAAATAATATTCATTATTTGGGATTATACTATTTTCTTCTGTAATTTTTGAGAGTCTTGATTTGAGAGTCTTCCATGTTAATATATTTAGTTGCTTTTGATTATGTTCACTTTGATGTATCTTCCACTCTCTATATTCAAGTTATTTTTCCATTAGCACTTGATTTTCTTAGCCATTGCTGTACTATTATGAAACTTCTTGAATGTCTCTTCATTTCACTACTGTACATATGAACCTTTTCAGTATATACAAAGAAGATGGGAAGAAACAGGACACATAGGATGCAGGCTGCTCTTAAACGGACAAAGAAGATGGGAAGAAACAGGACACATAGGATGCAGGCTGCTCTTAAACGGCGGTTTTAGCATTTTAAATTCAATACACATCCCTGCCTTCATCAGCTTTGACACCTCTGAGAAGTGTGGCACTTGCTTGTAATACACTAAGGAGGCTCAAGATTCTGAATGTTTATTAGCTTTTTATTCTATAAAATGTTTATTCATTATTTTCTTCATTCTTGAATTACATTTATCTTATTTACTTGTAAGATTCTTTAGAACTTTTGGATCCTGATTTCTTATAAGTTACTTCTCTGACTTTGTAATGTCTTTCACTACTTAAAAACATATTTTAATAAGCTTATATTAGTATTATCGTGGTTCGATTTACTGACATGTTCTCTCGGGGCTGCTTAGTTTAGCTGTTTTATTTGGTTTTTTGCAACGCTAAGGAGGACCGAGGATCTCTCCTCTGCTAGCCAAGTGCTCTCCCCTTGAGCTACACTTCCCAGTTGTTGGATTATCCCTCATTTAAGAAGTGCTGCTGTAAATTGGAAAAGATATTTTAAATGATAAAAGAGGAACTTATTTTGCTCTACAGGTAGAATTTATAACCCCACACATTAAATGCATTGAATCATGTCCTTACTTGTACTTCACAGAGAAATATTCATTCATTTTTGACATCCGTGCTTTCTTTTTCTGCTGTCTGGTTTCAGGATTGAAGTCTGCTACCTGTGGTCCAGGGTTTTGAAATGCCAAGCATTTTAGCTGCCGCTCTATTTGTTGCTGTGAAACAAACAAAATGTTTTACCAGTGAGAGAAAAATAATTTTGTTCATTTTACACTGTCGTAAAATGAACTCTGTCGTTGCCATCATGGTAGCCTGAGATTTGTTTCACACAGAGAAATAAATGGCTTAATCCAATTAACTTTCAAAAGGCAATGTAAATATTTTCAAATTAAGCAATTCTTAGTAAATAAAGAAATTCATAGTCTTAAACTTAATAATAAAAATATAAAAAAGAAGGGGGAATAGAAGACTTCTTTCTAGCTTCAAAACACCAGTAGGCTTTTCAAATCTGACCAAAATTAACATTAGAAACAGTACTTTTCTGGTGGTTAGGACAAGGGAATAAACGCCCTCCCTCAGCTGTTAGCTGTAGTGTCTGTGATCACGGGGAGAATCCAAAGTCCACAGGGCCCTGCTCTCAAGAGCTCTAGGACAGCTTCCAGTCATTCTCTATCCTGGCAGTGCAGATGTCACTGGAGCGTCAGTTCAGAACACAATCCCTGAAGGGTCTACTTACAAATCAAAACCAGATTTGAACAGGAATAATCCTGCTAGAATGACTTTCTAGAGTATTGGGATAAGTTTTCAAACATCTTTGGGGAGTTTTATACAGTATTTAGACATTAAACGGGGCCTCACGGATAGATGAGCAAAAATCGCTTTGTCAAATACGGATGATTTTTTTAAAAAATGTAGCACATAAGTCACAAGGCAAGAGAATTTTTTTGAAGGATTTTAGAAGAAAATTATCTGTGTAGCCTGAAAGCACAGGTTGACAGATGTGAAGATGATATACCTGGAGAAGGGACGCTTTCAATGTAACAAATTATAACAGAATCTCCTAGGCTTGTCTCAGTTTATTTAGTTTAATAGATCTACGCAGTATAAAATCATATGTGTCTTTGAAATTTCATTGTGATGTGTGTACATGAATTTGTTTTACTAACTTAATCTTGTGAAACAGCTCTGCATTTAGGTATGAAATAAGCAAAGCCTGCCACCTGGTATATTATTACTCTCAGCTTCATAGTAAGAAATTAAAGACAGAAACATTAAGGTAAAGAAAGGTATTGAGTTTTGTATCTACCACTTGTTAATGGTGTCCCTTGACCAAGTTCTTATTTTTCTAAACCTCCAATTTCTCATTCTAAATGGGGCTAACAATAATATCTTGTAATTTTTATATGAATTAATACATACAAAGTTTGAAACTATGGCATAATAAGCACAAAGTAGCAGTAAGGTACATAAAAACATTTGAATAGATTGTTTTCAAATATTTCACCTGGTGATAAAATTTTATTGCAAAAAATCTATAAATGCTGGGGATAGTGGCATATGCCTGTAATTCCAGAACTCAGAAGGCCAAGGCAAGAGGACCACTTTGGGTTTGAGGCCAACCAGGGCTACTATACAGTGGGTTCAAGACCAGCCTAGATTACATAGTGAGACCTTGCTTCAAAAAAGCACACATACACACACACACACAATAGTGAGCAAATCAAGAAACATGAGGAGTGGCAAAGAGGAAATCTATCAGCCCTAGAGTAAAGGTCCTTCCTGTGGAGTCCTGACACAGCCTGTCTTTCACCAAACCCACGAGTACCAGAAATTTCCAAGTTGGGAGCTCGGTAAATACTATGGAGTCATAAAATCCATGTGCCGTACCAGTTGCTTCTGCCCAATTTGACAGGTTTTCTCTGAAGAACTTTGATCTGAGTGTCCCTCTTGAATGGAATTGTTTTTATCTGCCCAGTCACTCATTTCTGATCACTAAAAAAGCAATGGGAAAGAAAGCACATTAATATCACAGGCCTCCAGTAATTTTATAATTCTTGTCTGCTCTCCTTTATTTTCCTTTAAGATCAGACTTCCTGAAACAGCCTCCTGCACTCCTGGCTGCTCTGTCTCGCTGTGTGTAACTCCCCCAGAACACTACTGACTGACCTTCTCCCCTAGTGAGTGTTCCATGAGCAAACTGACTGTATCTTACGACTCTTAGCACCATAGACCTCTCTGGAACAGCCAACACTGGAACATTCTCTCTTGCTTAATAAGACTATGAATTTATATTTTTCCTTCCATCTTTCACCCCCTTTTATGCTTATTCTCTTCAGAAAACAAAGTAAGATATGTCGATGTCACGTATCTCCAGGAACTGAATGAAAAGTCTCATCTACCCCCATGGCTCCAGCTGCTACTTCTTCAGTTATTATTCCTCAGCTACCTCTGAAAGCTTTGCCCCCCATCCCCACTCAAGTTTTCTGACACATTTCTAATGCAACTTGGGCTAAAAGAAAGATATCATTATCTTTTCCATTAACACTGAGTTTAAAAAATAACTATAACTTATTCCCATATACTGCAGCACACCTAGGGGTGATTGGAGTGTGTGTGTGTATGTGTGTGTGTGTGTGTGTGTGTGCGCTGAGGTGAAGGCATAGTCACTGATCATAAGTGGGCAAGGCAGAGCTGGTCTGCAGAGCTCTATTAAAGACCACACAGGGGAACTATCCCCAGGGGCTGCTGCCTTCCCTAACGCCCATCCACCACCAGTGCTGCCTACAGGGAACCGTTCCTCCAAAGGGGCCTAAGAGTTAGGTTCAAGTCGACTTGGTTATTCCGCACCAGCTTCCATCCAGCCCCTTGGAAATGCCATGTCTGTCAGTGGATCTCCATTTTCCCAACATCTGAGTTCAAGTCCTTTTTTTAAAAAAAAAATTTATTTTAAAGAGATTAAGATAAAAGAGGACATAACAAAGCATATCAGAACAGAACAATATAAGGAACAAAATATTTCACCACAAGGCAACCTGATATAACAGTAGCTACCATAATGTCTCTTTCTTTGAAATAGTTGAGCATACCTTCATGCACAATAGTATCAAATATAGCAAAAGAGTATAAAACCATTCAAGAGAATTATAGTGTTACAGAGCATTCAGAACCAACTAACAGAGAATGAACAATGGCTACTATATTATCTCATTGTCCATAAAAAATTGTTTATACTACCAAATATAATAAACTCCAGTAAGATACAACATAATAGAACCAAGGGAAACAGAAGAACAAAAGTATGGTAGGACTTCAAAACAAGATGATATTAAATCAGCACTGGCTATTATAATGTTTTGTTTTCTTCAAAATAGCTGTTCATACCATCATAGATAATAAAATCAAACAACCCAGGATAAAACCATTTCAACTAATGAATGGAAACATTATAAGGCTTCAAAGCAATGTAATGGGGAATCATGATTACCATAAACTCTTATGTATTCTTACTATTTCTTACACTAGGAAGATTATACAGTATTTATACATGTAAGTTTGATTTATTTCGCTTATGAGTATGGTCTCAAGTTGCTTCCATTTATTTATAAATATCTCAATGTGATCATTCTTTATAGCTGAGTAATACTCCATTGCATAAAAATACCACAATTTTTTTTATCCATTCCTGAGTTGTTGGACACTTAGGTAGTTTCCAAGATCTGGCTATTACAAATTGTGCTGCTATAAACATGGGTGCACATATATCACTGTGGTATGATGTTTTCAGTTCTTAGGGAATATGCCTAGAAGTGGAATAGCTGGGTCAAATGGGACTTCCAATCCCAGCTTTTTGAGAAATTTCCAGACTGACCTCCACAATGGTTGCACCAGTCTATACTCCCACCAACAGTGCAGGAGAGTTCCTTTTTCCCCACAGCCTCTCCAGCATTTGTTGTTGGTAGTTTTCTTGATCTTGGCCATTCTTTCTGGAGTGAGATGGAATCTCAGTCCTTTGCTCCCTACTTCTGCATCTCCTTTCTAATTCCCAGCCTTGAATTAGGAAACTGATTTTTAGTTTCTGATAGTCCTAACATTTATTTTCTCTTGTGCTCTCTATTGAGTGGTCTGCCACAATTATATATAGTAGTCTTGGTTATAGTAGTAGCCATGGGAATATTAGTAGTACCTTTGACCAACATGACCTCAGGTTGACTAAAGTACAGACAAGTTTCTTCCTGACAATAAGACCTTGACGTCCCTTTCCTTAGAGTATTTCTGTAGACAACTTGCAATTATAAACCTTTTTTTTAGTCCCTTTAAATAGATGTAAATTCTCTCCCATGCTCCTGTCATGTTGCAACTCCAAACTATTCTTCTCAAGGACCAGGAGCCATCCTTTTGAAATCAGCAAGGAAGACAGAATTCCTATCAGAGGATAGGAGGCTGACTTTGATTAAGTACCAATTAGGAAACACAAAGGGTCTTATCCCAGAGAAAGATATTTGTAAAAGAGAATCAATGTGCTCCACACTTCCCATGGACCGCCCCTCACATCGTCCAGTGCAGTTCTCCTAATTCACCCCAGCCCTCCAGAACTTGCTCTGCTGCAGTTCAGTGGCATTAAGTTCAGGCTACGATCTGGCCTCTGTCCTTCATTGGAATAGCTCTGAATGGGCTTCCATGTTTCCTTAAAAATTGTACTTTGTCCAGAACAATTTTAACTTTAACCCTTTCATGTGTAAATTTAGATGAGATCAAACAAAAGTTCCTGTGGACTGTTTTTCAACTTGTATGAAGATAAAACTATGTGGGCTGCTATAAAATCAGAATATTGGTTTAATCCCAGATGTACTAAAGTTATAATCTGCAAGATGGAATCTGGGTAAGCTGTATATTTATAATCCACACAATTATAGGAAACAGTAGGATAGAAAAGGTAGTTATCAGTCTCTCCATCCAGTCTTGTTGGCTGACCCTGAAACAAGTGCTCACACTTTCTTCTTCTCTCATTTTATGAAATAATATTCTGACCATGTTAATATCCTAACTCACAAATGTATTCCATTTCTATTAAAAAGTATCAATGGTTCCTCTCTGCCAACAATACCCCACAGCCCTGGCACATTATGGAAAGTCCATCACAGCTGTCCACCACACCGACTGACTCAAGCTTCTCTCCTGGTGTATCTACATTTGAGCAGAAGGGACCTGGTCTCACTGTTCCCATTCAGGCCCCTCCTACTCTGTACTTAAAAGAATCTTTCAACTTTGAGCTTTGGCCCCAACCTCCGAGGAGTTCTTTATATAACAAAATTTCTTCCTCGTAGGACAGCTATGAATATCTCTGCAAGCAAGAGCTTTTCTTGAAATGGGATGGGATTTGAGTCACTGAGAGGAATAAATAACTTATGCAAATCCTCTCCTTCAGGAAATTTTCTGTCCTTCATGAGCGATAAGTCTGCACCAATAGAGTAGAGAAAAATTTGCTCTCTGTTATTTCAAATAAAGCAAAAAAGAAATTATAAAGGCATTTCATGAGGCACTGAAATTACAAGATTTTGTTGTAAACTCAAAATATCTGTTCCAGGAAAAGCATCAAAAGGCTCAGAATTTTCTTGCCCTTTGTTTGGTATTCTTAAGGCAGAGGCTCTTAACCAGACAGTGCAGGGGGTCCTTGAACTTGGACGAATAGAAAATACATGTTTATTTTCACTAACTTCTAACTGCAATTCTGGTATTTCCCTCAATTATAGTATAATCACCAGGCCTCAGGAGTGTCAGTAGTATCTGACTTCACTGACATGAAAACATAAATTTTAATAACCCATTAGGGTTATTGTCAACATTTATTTGCACGTGCCTCTTCCAAATGACGCTAGTTCTTGAACCTGCCAATAGATCCTATTGTTTGATGTGTTAATAAATAAGCAGATATGTAACTCTCAAAACATTTTGATAAGTGTGTCTTAGTCTAGTTCCCTTTGAAATGTTATGGATTTCATTTCTAAGATTAAAAAACTCCTTCTGAAAAATAGTCCATGCATGCCACTGTCTGCCAAAAAGGTCCATGACACACAAAAGCAATGAGATTAAGAGCCCCTGGAAACAGGTGTGGGGAACCAATTGCCACCATCTCCATTGTTCCTGATAATGACGTGGCAGCTCCTCAGGATCATCCGGATGGTAGGACGTACTTACTCATCATCAGGCATAGGGCTGTGACCACAGCATACCCTCACAACTGTGTGTTATGAGAGAGAAAGAATATGAAATCATTTACCAAAGTATCTTGTCTTAATGTTGTGCCAACTGCCTATGAAAGGTCCAAATTATGATCCAAAACAAAGAAAAGAGACTCCAGACTCTCAACCTTGACTTACAGAACAGTTATTCTAAGAATGATCAAAGATGGAGTAAATGTTTGGTATGAGCCTGGGGAAAAGGAACACGTTTGGCCAGAATAGAAATCACCTGGTCCATAACGCGCACTGTGTAGTCTAGCTGCCTTTTCTTCATAAAAAGACTGCTTTCCTGGAGGAATGGCTCACTGATGCACCTTCCAACACAAGCTCCTTTATTCACCATTCACTCTACGAGCATGTTGGTGTTAACATTCAACATCTTCCTGTTTTTCAATTTTTGGTGAAATTCCAATTTTTGCATGCAAATTCCTTTGGGGCTTCTTTCTTGCTTGGAACAGTCTTTCACTTTTTTATTAATGCATACTAATTATTCAGAGTAATGGATTTCACTGTGGTGTGTCACCCCTCATCTTCCTATGCACTAGTTTACCCTTCTTACACTTTTTTTTCTTACTCCCAGGAAGCCCAGAACTATTTAGTAGACAATGTTCAATAAATGTCTTATAAATCTTGCACTTATGGCATCTGTTATATGCTAAATATTACACTTATATTCTTTTATTGAATTGTCAACAGTGTGGACTACATATTAGTTTTCTACTTTACAAATGAAGGAACTTATAGACATAGTTA